GCGAACAGAGCAGCAGGATGTCTCAACAATACAATCTGGAGAAACAAATATCTCACAACGGAAACGAAAACTAGGATATATAAATCAACAATGATGCCGGTAATGCCGTACACAGCGGAAACAAGTGCAGATACGGCGAAAACACAAGGATTATTGGAAACAGCAGAAATGAAAGTCTTACGAAAAATAACAAACCAAACTCTAAGGGACAGAGTAAGAAGTGAGGAAATACGAGCGAGATGTGGTATAGAGGTAATTAACCTGTGGACCAAAAGAAGAAAAGTAGAATGGAATCAACACATACGAATAGCAAGAAACAAATCGCCAAATGAAAGAAGATCAATGGGACGACCGAGGCAAAGATGGTCAGACAACATCAATTGAGGCTAAAAACCGAAGTAAAACCGGCATGAGTCTATTAATAAAGTAGGAAGAAGAAGAAGAATTATTGCCTATCGAGATGTTGGCTTATCCTATCGCGAAATTGGTCGCCGTGTTAATTGTTCTGCAATGACGGTAATGCGTGTGTGTCGTGTGTGGGTAGAACGAAGTAGAGAAACACAAAGAAGGCCAACTGGTCCTCCGAGGCGTACCACAGAGCGTCAAGATAGGCGCTTCAGACAACTAGCCCGACCAGACCGTTTTGATTCTACGTGTCAGATGCCTGATCGATGGTTTGGAGAAGAAGGTAGACCTGTTACTATGCGTACATTCTATCGCCGCATTCAAGCCTATGGACTTTACGCCATCCACTGTTAGTGCTTGCTCTGACTACGTTGAACTGTCGTCAATGTTTGAACAGGAGCAGAGAACTATAACATTGGGAGACCGAATGGCATAATGTCAATTCCAGCGACGAGTCGTGATTCTGTCTTGGTATGTATGATAGTCCTACAAGGGTAAGTCGCCGCTATGGTGAACGACGTGATATTGGACTTGCTGTTGAGAGGAACGTACACAGGATTATTCGAGTAATGGTTTGGGGGCTGTTGCCTATGGTAATAAAATTTCGTGAGAATGTTATCGTTTCTTTATTCATGTCAAAACAAGTGGAAGATATTATTTTTTCTGGGTGTACCACTTGTAACATCACCGAGTATATAAAATTAATATTATTAGTAATAACATGAGTGAATCAAATTCAATTAAATTATCAACACTTGACTATGTATTTTTTAGGTTTCTGGTCCTTGGAACTATCATAATCGCCTCAAGATCTTCATCCTCACTTGAATCTGTTCCGAGGTAATCTTCATCGACACTCATTTTTGAACATGCGCAATAAAGAGCGGTCAAGATTTAGCTCTGATATATGGTAAGATTGAACGTTCCGAAAAGCCTAAGAATGATAGACACAAAATCCAGCTTCCCAGCTGTGAATGCTTCATTGACGCCATTTATAAAGATGTGCTATCAAATTCGCGAATTTACTTTCCTTTCAGGACAAGGACTCTTAGAACAAGTTCAGAACCCGTTTGGCACGGGTATTACGTATCTAGAAAAGTGACATATCTATTTTTTTTTTGACGTTATGTAGGTATTTCGACAAGATCTGAACTTAGCACTAGCTGATAGTCTCTTTTGTAAACTCGTTTTGTAGTTACAGTGTTCCCAACTAGCAAAGTAGTGGTATAAGCTTTTGGTAAAAGAACCGTTCAGCCATAAAAGCTCTCTATTGTTGTTGCCTGAACACCAAAATGCTGGCTTAATGTTGTGTGGAATGCAAATTTGCTTTCTGCAACATATTTGCTCTAAAGTGAGGTGTTTAAGATATTCTTATAGCATAGTTATACAACACCTTATAGGGTAAATTTGTAACTGTTGCATAAACGTTTATACAACTATTTTATATTGCATATTTGCACGTTAGTCAAAATGGTTGTGTTGTGGCATCCATGGTAACGTTTATCAAACAAACGCGAGCCTTGTTGTTTTGCTGTGCAATTTACTACTTTAGCCAACAAATTGCTCCCAACGGAGCACTTATACCACTGTTGTTTAGTAACTGTTAAAGGCTGTACATGTGCTAAATATGTTGGTATACAACTTCACCATAACCGAACTTTCTGCTCTCATATTTTTTTTAAAATGCCATAACTAATGTTTTAAGACAAACAACGCATGCATATTGGTACAAAGTGTTTTATCAACTGTTCAAACAGAAGATATAGATCTGGTACAAATTCTGGGTAAATCATTCGACTCTGTCGGTATTTCATTTCAGACATTTGTCAAATTGTTTTATAACACCTGCAGGCAACACCAAAATAGTCTAATAACCTAAAGACAACATGGACGATGCCATGATTATACATAACCACCCGCCATGTTGGGCAAACATTTATTCTTCTATTTAATATTAAATAATCATGTTTCATTTCGAAATTACAGATATAAAGTGATAAACATTAGTGTAGTTGTGTCTAAATATAGGATTTGTGGAAGATTTAACGCAGATAAGTTCAGTTTTCCATCTTAAAAATCTAGACATACTTTTGATCATTATCAAAATATGAATCAAATACGAAGCCCGTAGAAACTGCGCAAATAATTTGCACGATAATTACAATAAAATTTGCTGCGCAAGTAATTCAATAGCCCTATATAACAGTGTAGAAGTTTGTCATATACCTGTGTACGAAATTCACAATGGCCGATATGTAAGTAAACAAGATTACTGTAATGTGTTAATTATATATTTTTCCTCGTCTATACAATACATAAGAAATAGTTTGGTTGTAATAAAGTAGAATCACGTAACAGAATAGCTGTATAGTTGACAAAAACTGAATCTTGCACTGACGCAAATGTCCTATAGCGGCTGCAAGAGGTTTACACTTTCGTTGTACAACTGTTACCTGCAGCCCTTATACAACCTCTTAAATGACTGAAGTGTCCTATTAGGTGTGCCCATTCCGCTTGTATATCACTTCTGCCAATATTATTACAGTATACAATGCTGTTTAAGGAATACTGTATAATCATTCTTGCAACTCAAGTAGGAGTGATAATTGTTAGTTGGGTTGCCTAAACGTCATGAGGCTTCACTTATCAATGTTTGGCTATGCTGTGGTGTAAAATCTGCTTCAGAGAGGTAACAGCATAGTAAGGATTTGTGTGCTAATAATATGTGTTGATGATAATTCCATTGGATTCTTGTCTAAAATACACTAATTGCATATGCACCTTTGCTGAATTTCGAAAATGAGAGGGACAAGAAATAAGTATATTCACTGTACACTTGAAAATAACCCGTCGAGCACAACTAATAGATATAGTTCATTGGCAGCAGATTCAGTAAAAATCTTGCCACTCAGCAAATATCACTGAATGTATACACATGAAGACTAATACACACAATCATCCAAATGCGATCTTGGTATTCAACCAAATAACTAACTTCCTTCTCAGAGACTCGGAGATGAAAACTATAGACCACTCGGCTTCACAAAATATATGCAACCAACAGCGCGTGTACGTATAGTTGAGCCATTCCTCCATAGATGGACGCTTTGGATCGTGCTCAAAATGATCCTAGTGAGCAAACGTTCAATCACTGTTTGCACCCTCAAACCTACTAGATGACATCGTATAGGTTCTTTTGACGTTTTATAGGTTTTCATACATAATACCCATTGCTGGACAGTACGGAGTTGGAACAGAGAAAGCTAGTTACGGAATCAGTTCCATTCTACGTTGGAATTGTAATTTCGATGTGCGTATGTGTAGAACTAGTTTACTTGTCTGTTGAAACAAAGCAAAAAGACTCATTCTGACTTGACCAAACAATTAACAGAATTTTACTGTACACCGAGTATTAAATTGTAGACGATCTAAGTGGAAGCACCATAACGAGCAAGCCACTTCTTGACCCACTCTGTTAGAAAGCTCTACGCGACAAAAAAGCGGATGCTGAGGTATACGCATCCTTTCCGAAAGTATTTGCCTTTAATTTATTCCTAAACGGCATCCAGAAGCCTGAGATGGCGACCGTGCTGCAGCCTTTTCAATTTATTCGCTTAAGTGTGTCGCTGTGCTAACATTAGAGCTTTATTTATCCTCCCACAGGAAAAACTCCTTACGTGCATTTCTTTGACGAAGTTACATGTAATTCGTTTTGGAAATTCCCTTTGAGAAATGTCTTATTTAGCCATTGTGAGTTATTCATGTTTTTTTCTTGCTTATGAAACTTGTGCTAGTCTATTCTTTCATAAGGTGTAATGAGTCATTTGAAATATGAGGGCGTTTATTATTGCAGCCTATCCAAAGTGTATTTTATATCCCGGAGATAGATAGAACCAGGTTAATGAGATAATCTATTTAATTTCAAGAAAAAGTAGGTCAAGCATCTTCTTTCCAGTGTTATTTATTACTTATTTCATTTGTAAGGGGTTACCAGTAGAGTGCTTGTACAGTGTTCGCACAAGGGAGTCGGCAAACAGCGTCAAAGGTGGCCTAGTTGTCAGTCTTCGCCTACGCACAACCTACTTCTATTTCGTTTAGAAACTCAACTATATCGGGTTGAAACCACAAAGACTTACTAGCTAACTATAACTCAGAAGAAACGCACTTTTCCTCATGACCAATAAAATAAATGTAACATGTGATACATCGTTGAATTCGTATAAAAAAATACTGTTAGTTACAGAGAATAAATTGAATTATTTTATCAAGAGTTTAACTGATATAGTAAGAAGCACCATACCTTCAAGTAATAAGGAAGGTATAACGGCAGCAGTGCTTTTAGAAGAGGAACTTTGGAGGTGTTTTAAGAAATTTCACTGAATAGGCTACGCAAAACTGTTTTTCAATTGAAGAAAAATCTACGGATGATGAAGCACTTACACGGAGTTTGGTGAAGGGAATGTTTGATGTCATTGGCTACTCCCGTTTGAATATCGTAAATAAATTGCGCATAACAAAAAAGACGCCTTCGTTGTTCAAGAGGAGTATTATAGTCCTAGTACCCAAAACAAACCACGTAAGAGAGAATACTTGCGACCCATCAATCTTATGCCAGTCGTCGAGAAAATTATAGAAACAACAGTGCATGGACAGCTGTGTGAGCATCTACGTGTAAACGGTGGTTTTTTGAGAGGCAATCCGGGTTCAGAAGGGATCATTCTTGTAAAACTACATGCCAACTTGTGTGTACAAAGTAGAAAAAATATGTAGATGATGGTAAAGTGATTGTGTGTGTGTATCCCAACTAGCAAAGTAGTGTTATAAGCTTTTGGTAAAAGAACCGTTCAGCCATAAAAGCTCTCTATTGTTGTTGCTTGAACACCAAAATGCTGGCTAAATGCTGTGTGGAATGCAAATTTGCTTTCTGCGACATATTTGCTCTAAAATGAGGTGTTTAAAATACTCTTACAGCACAGTTATACAACACCTTATAGGGCAAATTTTTAACTGTTGCATAAACGTTTATAAAACCATTTATATGGCATATTTGCACTTTAGTCAAAATGGTTGTGTTGTGGCATCCATGGTAACGTTTATAAAACAAACCGGAGCCTTGTTGTTTTGCTGTGCAATTTACTACTTTAGCCAACAAATTGCTTCCAATGGAAGCACTTATACAACTGTTGTTTAGTAACTGTTAAAGGATGTACATATGCTAAATATGTTGGTATGCAAGTTCACCATAACCTAACTTTCTGCTGTCATATTTTTGTTAAAATGCCATAACCAATGTTTTAAGACAAACAACGCATGCATATTGGTTCAAAAGGTTTTATCAACTGTTCAAACAGAAGGTATATATCTGGTACAAATTCTGGGTAAATCATTCGACTCTGTCGGTATTTCATTTCAGACGTTTGTCATATTGTTATATAACACCTGCCGGAAACACCAAAATATTCTAATAAACTAAGGACAACATGGATCATGATTATACACAACCACCCGCCATACTGGGCAAACAGGTATTCCTCTATTTAATATTAAACAATTATGTTTCAGTTCGAAATTACAGATATAAAGTGATAAACATTAGTGGAATTGTGTCTAAATAAAGGATTTGTGGAAGATTTAACGCAGATAAGTTCAGTTTTCCATCTTAAAAATCTAGACATACTTTTGATCATTATCAAAATATGAATCAAATACGAAGCCCGTAGAAATTGCGTAACTACTTTGCACGATAATCACAATAAAATTTCCTGGGCAAGTAATTAAATAGCCCTGTATCACAGTGTAGAAGTTTGTCATATACCTGTGTATGAAATTCACAATAATGGCCGATGTGTAAGTAAACAAGATGACTGTAATGTGTTAGTTATATATTCTTCACTTCGTCTATACAATACATAAGAAATAGTTTGGTAGCAATAAAGTAAAATCACGTATCATAATAGTTGTATAGTTGACAAAAACTGAATCTTGCACTGACGCAAATGTCCTATAGCGGTTGAAAGAGGCTTACACTCTTGTTGTATAACTGTTACTTGCAGCCCTTATACAACCTCTCAAATGACTGAAGCGTCCTATTAGGTGTGCTCATTCCGCTTGTATAGGTGTTCTAAGAGGGTTTTGCCAATGTTCTTACAGTATACAATGCTGTGTAAGGAATACTGTATAATCATTCTTGCAACTCTAGTAGGAGTGATAATTGTTAGTTTGAATGTCTCTGTTGACCTACAAAGAGCGGTTGAAACTATTGACAGGAAATTGTTCTTGAGAAAATGTGAAATGTTTGGAATTAAGGGTAGGTGATTATTTATCTGAGCAGTTTCAAGTGGTAAAAATTGAATGTAAAATATCAAGTAATGTTTCTGTTGATCATGAAGTACCGCAAGGCAGCGTACTAGGCTCATTGCTTAACAATTCTTTTATAAATTTGTGTGCGGATGATACATTAATTTCAGCTAGTGGTTCAGTAAGTAACGAAATTGTAGATCTAATGTATAGTGAAATGAGCAAACCTACTTTATGGTTTAAAACAAACAAGATTAAATTAAATGTGAGAAAAACGAAATGAATGATCACAGGTTCTAAAAATAACTGCAAGCAATTGGTACTTTATTTGGTAGATAGTTTTAAGTATTTAGGGATTATAACAGGCCAGCAACTTTCAATGAACATGTTGACTAAATGTCTCAGAAATTAGGCAAAAAGATCGGATTCGTAGAATTTGTCCCTGGTGCAGAAGGGTAGTCTACAATACAATAAGTTTTCATCGTTTTACTTATTGTGCATCACTTTTGTGTATGCGTATTTTGTTAAATTGTAGTAGGTATAGCCCTATGCAGGATGTGCTAAAGGTATTAAATTTTTTAAACATACACCAAATTATTCAAGAGGCTAATTTAATTCTTTTATATAGAATTATCAATAATGGGGCTCCACCTCATGTTGATCAGTTTCTAAAATAAAATATGTGACATGCAAGGTTACGACATTACACCAAAAGGAAATTTCTATATACAGAGATTTAGATTTAAAGGTTTAGAAAAGTCAATGTTTGTTGAAGGTCTAAAAATGTACAACAATCTGCGTATTAAGACATCCAGTAACGCTAAAATTTTCAAAACAGAACTTCGGAGATACTATTTTGGTTTGATGTGACGATCTCTTTGTAAATTTAACATATTTATATATATTATAACGTGGTTGAATGAGGATGTTTTGAGTGCTGAACTAATTCCTGACTCTTATATTGTTCATAAGAAGGACCGTAAGTTTACATTGGTTGATAAGGAATGTGGCGGTGGAGTGCTTCTAGCTGTTAAGGAATGCATTAAATCTGAGGTTATAGATGTTGCTGTATTTGATGCACAATTTCCATCAATTGATCTTTTAATAGTGAGATGCCATGTGGCATATAAGACATTTTTTGTGGCTGTTGTTTACATTCCTGACAAAATTGCCGTTGATGAATTTGAATCGTTCTTTGATGCTGTTGAGCAACTAGATTATTTGCACGACTGTAATTCCCTGTTTCTAGGAGATTTTAATGTGCCTCAACTTGTAAATGGCAATCTTCTAGACCCTAAGACACGCATTATCCATAATTTTTTGGACATTTTCAATTATAAGCAGTCAAATAATGTCTTAAGTCAACTTGGTCGGTCGCTAGACCTGGTAATATCTAAATTACCCTGTACTGTTAAGCGTGATGAACTACCTCTAGTGCCAGAAGATAGTCACCACCCGGCACTAGCTGTCGATTTGACTGCCATATTCATCAAAGATCCTAAGTTTACATTCAATCATAGTAAGATAACATATAACTACAGAAAGGCTGACTTTGTCAACCTGTATCAAAAGCTAATTCAATTTGACTGGGGTGTTTTATTCTGCTCTTCTGATGTTAATTATATTGTTGATGTATTTTATTTCAACATTTTCCAAATTTTTGACAGGCACATACCTCTGTATAAGAATTACAGTCACCGACACCCGGCTTGGTTTCACTCAGCTATTATTAAGAACATTAAACTTAAAGGCTAAATTTAGGAAAAAAATCAACAAGTCTGCTTTTGTTGATGATCTACAAGAATTCAGACGTTTGCGCCGCTTGATAAAAAACCAGATTAAATCAGCGTATTATCAATATATTGAAAATATCCAGAATTGAAGTCAGGAAGGCCATTAAATCACTAAAAGATAAGATGACATCTGGTCTAGATGGCATCCCGTCCTTTATAGTCAAAGATTGTGTGAAAGTGTTTGTTGGTGTTCTAACTAGGATTTTTAATATTTGTTTTATAACAACAATATTTCCAGATATTTGGAAGATCGCTGAAGTCTGTCCAGTGTTTAAGTGTGGGGATAAGTCAAATATTGAGAATTACAGGGCAATCTCTATATTATGCATGTTCTCGAAAGTCTTTGAAATAGTCTTGTACAGTCGCATTTACAATGCCATCCAGCGTCAGCTGTCATTACTTCAACACAGATTTGTCGCTAATTGCTCAACAACCACAAATTTATTTATAATAACGCAGTACCTCTCGGAAGCCATTGATAGTAATGAGCAAGTTGACGTTATTTATACCGACTTTTCGAAGGCTTTCGATAAAATTAACCACAAAACTTTATTAAATAAGTTAGGTGCACTTGGTTTCACAGATGATGCTAGGGAGTTGATGATATCTTACTTATCCGATCGTAGACAATTTGTTAGCTATAATGGCTTCCAATCTGAGACCTACTTGGCACCTTCTGGAGTTCCTCAGGGGTCCAACCTGGGAACATTACTCCTTTTGATATTTATTAATGACCTCTGTGACTCAGTTGAATGTGAACGCCTATGCTTTGCTGATGACCTAAAAATTTATTCTCAGATAAATACTCATGATGATTGTATCAAGCTACAACACCAATTAAATTTTGTGCTGTCTTGGTGTGTAGAAAACAAGTTGGAGCTTAATGTGAGGAATTGTAAAATAGTCAGCTATACCAGGAAAATTAATGTTTGCGAATATCCGTACTCTATTGATGGGTCTGTGCTAGAAAGATGCTCTGATGTACGTGATTTAGGTATAATCTATGATCAAAAGTTAACTTCTAGTCAGCATATAAATAAAACAGCATCTGAAGCAGTGGCGGCTTATGGTTTCATAGTAAGGAATTGCTGGAATTTTCATAACATAAAGTCTATTAAGCTATGATATTATGCTTATGTTAGATCCAAAGTCGAATATTGTAGTATTATTTGGAGCCCTTACTATGAATGCTATAGCACAGCTATTGAAAGAGTACAACGGAAGTTTATGAAGTTTGTTCTGTTTAGGATTTGATGGGACATATCCAGAGAGACTTACAAGTAATGAGGAACTATGTAGTCGCTTAGACATGTTGACTTTGAAAAAACGTAGGGACTGTGCCTCAATAATGTTTGGCTACAAAATGATCAACAATTTAACTGATTGCCCCTTGATCGTGGAACAGATCAAGTTTCGTACGCCAACGTTTGCATCTCGCAATCATAAAATATTCGGGCTTCCTAGAGCTAGGACAAACATTTTTCTCAAGTCACCGTTATATGTAATGTGCTCTAACTTAAACAGAATTGGATGTTACTGTAATATATTTACGACAAATTTTAATTACCTGCTAAAGGCAGCTAAAGCTTATTCGGACCAATAGCTCATGTTACAAATTCATACCTGTGTTGCATTTGTTGTTTGCTTTACTCTTTTTTTTTGCTTTTGTATTATGTTTATAAATTGTCCTATAAATGGGAAACTGTTGGACAATAAAGCTATTATTATTATTATATTTTCGTAAATAATATTTATTATTGTTTGAAGTAGCTTAAAGCTAAATAAATCCTTTCTATTCTATTCTATCCTGACCGTGTCGAACATCAAACATCCAGAGCTGGCAGATACTACCGCTCCTTTGTGAAACAATCTGCATGAGGCGACTATCTTCAGTACTATTAACCCAGGAAGCTCAAAAATCGGATTAACAAGGCTTCTTTCAGCCCTCATAGCAGCCGCGGTGCCTGGCATTTAGGCTGCTGCCTGCACGGCTGCTTCGGCGTTGGAAAAAAAAATGGTGTGTCCAGAAAAAAAACGGACATGATCTAATTGGCATGGAAATTCCTTGGAAGGTACAGGTACACTAGATGCCATTTCTTCATTTATCTATCAACACCACACATTTAGCGCAAAAACGTGTTGATATCTCGCTTAACTTCTATACTTCGCATCTTTATCCGACAAAGGCACTTCTGTGAGACGGCGTTGTCCGATAATCTGGATGATGAATCGGACACGGATCAGATAGGCGGCTTCAAAGACGAATTGACCGCGTAGCCATAGCCAGCCTGCAGGAACATATTATCTGATCCTGCCGTTCACGGCACAATTCAATGAAGATGAATGGACCCACAAATGGGAATGGTTAATAGCCGGAAAATCAAATCATCCATTATCATCGTGGCATTATCGTCATTTTTTATACCTTGTTTGGGGCGAAGGAGGTAAACGATCCCTTGTCGGTGCTGCTGACACAGTAGAAAAGGGAGTGTGAAAATGGCGATAATTAGGACACAGGTGTGGAATAGGACTTTTAATTGGACACCTTTTTGCAATCAGGTGAATAAAAAATAGTTTCCGATGCATTTTTGCCAGCTTTTTTAGTTCTCATTTTTTTTATACAAAATATGTTCCTTCTGGCTGCATCGAAGCAGTAGGTAGGTAATCTTATAGTCCAGGAAGTATCTCCGCATACGCTCGGAAAAATAGTCGATTTTTGCATAATCTTTTCCAAAAAGGCCCCTCCTTAACGAACCTGCTTGCATTAAGGTCCAAAATCACGAAGAGAATTCTTTTCGTTTTCTATACCTATTCCATCACTAAATTCTAACAGTTGAGGAGATACTGGAAATACTAAATATTCAGCGTGAGCGAGAGAATAATAAAAAACAAAGGTTTAGGATGTCGATATCTCTTAAGATGCTCAGAGATATTTTGATGGATATTTGAGGAATTTTTAGGAGCTTTGACAATACGAAAAAATTCAATTTTTTGTATTCTTTTACTTCTTACGAATCTGGCTGAAGCAGCGAAGACAATGAAAATCAAGGAGGTCATAAAGGCTTCAACAAAACTTGATTGTCATAGTACGTTCTTTACAGAAAGGCTGGGGTATTTCTAAATTTCTCCTGTTCCCTGTCATCGTCAGCGCTCCTCTATTGTGATGTTATGGCTCCTGTTTGAATCGTGGGAAATTTCAGGCTGATAGGTATTTATGACATAACCTCAAAATAGAGCGCTGAAAATCAAGGAGGCCACAAAGGCGTCCTACAATTGTCGGAACGACTGACGGTAGGGTCCTAAGACATTACAACTGAGACGTTCTCTTGA